TTGTATAAATATACAAATATTATATGGGATGATTGTTTTAATAGAATAGAAAATTAAAAAAATAAAAAATTGGAGGAATGGAGAAATGGAAAACTGGAAGAATGGAGAAGAAAACTGGAGAAATGGAAGAATGGAAAATTGGAAATGGAAAAACAGAGAAATGAAGTAAACGACCCCTTAGTTAATTACTTTATGATGATATGTTTAAACTCGATCATTAGCTCATTAACATGGTTGAAATCACATTTTCTAAATTTATAATTAAATATTAAAATTATATATATATATATATATATATATATATATATATATATATATATATTTAACAAATAGTCAAATACACCTCATGATTCAATTAATAAATTTAATATACACCATATCATCTATAAATATTAAGAAAACAACATAGAATCTATAGTTTATTTTAATAATTAATATTAATTAGATTATTAGTATGCAACAGTGTTTGTGCAAATATGTTGATTCAATTCATTTAATAAGTTAAACAAGTTAAAATGCGAAATTAATGAGTCTTGATGAATCAATTTATTACTTTTATATATAACTAGTATTTGTCCCGTGCGATGCACGGAAAATATATTATAAAAATATACTCTATATGAGGTTTATTCATATATAAAATTTTTGTTATTTAATAATTATTATGTGTGAATTCCTGTAATAAAATTATGAACATAAATATATTTACAATTAAAATAATATTTAAGGTGGGTGATTACTACAAATCTTAAACTATATTAAAAATTTAGTACATAGTATTTAATATTACAAATTTTTAAGAACTTAGTAAACTACAATAGTAATTGAATTACAATTTTAGAATCACCACGGATCAAATTTTTTAGACCTTTGAGATTTCTAACTCTAGATGTAGCACCATACAATTGACCTTTAAAGACCAAAATCACAATATTAGTTCGAACATTGATTTTTTCTTCCAAATACTATCGAATTAAGTGTGTAATCAATAAAAGATGAAAACTAATAATTCGAGAATATAATCTTAATGTTACTAAGCCACTTCACGTCAATTAAGTTGGAGAGTGTTGTTGGATAGTATCCGATGAATCCACGAATAACGCATCTTTGTCTCCGTAGTCCTCAATATGCACATCAACAATCTTAAATATTAGGCCGCCTAACTATGCCATATATTAATTTCAAACTTATGAACTTTGAGGTTGCATGCAATAAAAAGTATATTTTAAATATACTAAGGGTACATTATATATGTATGTAAGGTACTTTCAATATAAAAATAATGTATTTTTAATATATTAAAAATGTATTTGATATTCATGATCCATACAATTATGTGGACTATCGTTCACACAATAATTTGCCGGTAGAAATTGAATTATAAATAAATAAATATATATATATATATATATATATATATATATATATATATATATATTAGAAACTGTCCGTGAAAATTATCATTATTATTATTATTATTATTATTATTATTGTTATTAGTATTTTTATTATAATTAACAATATTATTATGGTTTTGTGAAAATTAAATGTTGATTATCAACATTTAATTTTCACAATAACAATATTATTATGGTCTTATGAAAATTAAATGTTGATATTATCATCATTTAATTTTCACAAGACCATATAGCTTTATTATATATAGGATTTCAATTCATATTAACGAATTATATAACTCTAATTTCATATTTCAAGTACTCAAATTATTTCTATTTAATTAATCCATTTTGAACGTTAGAATTTTATTTTAATTTTTGTATAGCTATAATAATTTATTAAAGATGGAGATTACACATGACTTCAAAAGAGTACAATAGCATTCTTAGTACTTCATAATTGAATAGCACGAGGGAGATCAGATCTAGGGATTGGCAATGATGATGGCAAAATGGTTGGCACGTGACACTCGACCCACCACACTACATATATTACACTAAAATAATTTTATTTTTCAATTATTAGTTCAAATTTAGTTAGTTTAATATAATTTAGTTCCAACTTAATTAGTTTAATATAAAATATAATTTGTAATGTAAATGATAATTTTTATTAACATTAATTTTTTTGTTCAAATTATGTTTAATGTATTTAGAATTTTAATTAATATATATTCAATATTAGTCTTGTTTCGATCGTCTCAGTGAGATCTTTAAAATGGTATATTTTTTATTTAATAATACAAAGTTTAAATATAAGTATTTAACAAAATAAAAAAATTACATATAAAACAAATAAAGGATACATTTGGTATTATAGAAAGAAGCAAGGGCAAAAGGGTCATTTTTCATCCTATTTTACATTTGCCGCGGATGAGCAGTGCAGCGCCAAATATGGCGCTGCACTATTCATCAACGCCAAAATAATTGGCGTTATGCAGATATGGCTTTCTACGTTGGAGGTCGAAAAAGTAGGAAAATAACGAAATGACGTAAATCTTTGCCAATATGCAGCTCCGTTGGAGATGCTCTTAGCAACGGTTGATGCTGCAAATAATTTATAAATGTAACATGAAGGGAAATAAGTATGATTGCAGGATTATTCAACTAGTGTTAGTATTGGGTACGTTTAATCACATTATTAAAGAAGTTTTAAGTTCTTCCAAATAATTCAGTTTCAAATTTGTGAAACAATCTGCGAATTAAGTTTTCGTAGTATTGCTAGTGAAGTTGTTTTTATGTTTGACTGTAAAGAATGTTTGACCATTTCATTGATCTTTATTGTAAACATTTTAACCTATGATTAATAAATTAGTTTATTTATTTAAAAAAAAATAAGTATGATTGGAGGGATTCTTGATTACTCGGAGTGAGCCGAGAGTCAAGATTATAATGTATTTAATTTAGTAGAATTTTAATCACTTTTATAATACATGTATGTATGTATATGTATATGTATATTGTTAATTATTATAAGAGAGCTAATGGTGCAAAGAAGTGTGCTCAAAAATAAATTTCATTGTAATTAAAATTGACATAAAGATTATAAGACACTTGTAACTAATTTTAATTTTCGTGTCTCCAAAGGTCAATAGCTAAGCCAATTGGGCACCCAAATGATATTAGGTTTGATATTTTATGCTATATCGTGTAGTTTAAAAGATCTTGTATTACTTGACTCAAGCTCAAACTAATCGTTACCGAGTGGTTTAGGCCAGTAACATTAACCTCAACATGAACATATCGCATTGGTTTGCATGTTTGGAATGATAACAATATATTTTCTATCCTACAATATATCTAGCAACTTTTAGTTGGTAAGCAAACTACTAATACAATTGTAAAGATTTATTTTTGGGAGAAATTTATGTTAATACGTTTATGTATACCCAAATGCCTCCCCTCATGGAAGAGCCTCTCGTAGAATTTATATTAATTTGGAATAAGGATCAAATAGGCTACTGAACTGCACACTAAGTTGCAATTGGGCCATCGAACTCAAAAAAGTACAATTGGGTCCCTGAACTACACAAATTCATGCAATTAGGTCTAAAATGACATGTTTACCTAATACTTTGCTGACGTGGAGGTTGTGAATTTTAAAAATAATTTTAAACAAAAAATTAATTTAAAAAAAAAAAAAATAGAACGGCCGGAGACGAAATCGTCTCCGACCGTTCTTCGTCTCCTGGCCATGAAGACGAAGGTCTTCGTCTCCATGGTAAGAGACAAAGATCGTCTACATGACTGGAGACGAAGGTCTTCGTTTCCTACCATGGAGACAAAGGACGGCTGGAGACCATTTCGTCTCCGGCCATTTTTATTTTTTTAAAAAAATTGTTTAAAATTATTTTAAAAATTATTTTTAAAATCCGCAACCTACATGACAGGTAAACAGGTCATTTTAGACCTAATTGTATAAATTTGTGTAGTTTAGGGACCTAATTACATATTTTTTTAGTTCGATGGCCTAATTGTAGTTTGGTGTGTAGTTCAGTGGCCTATTTGACCTTGATTCCTATTAATTTTATGGGGTATTTGGTTCAAGTTATACAACATAACTAAATGAATGTGACATTTTAAAACTTACATTCCATCTTTGATCCATGTTATCTTACTTTGCGAATGGAATCCAACATTTGCAATAAATGAAACATACACTCTATATTAGATTTTGAAAGGAATGTGATTACATTACGGAAGACTAAGTAATCTAAAACTCTCATACATATTTACTATGTTTGTCATTTGAATTCCAATTAATATACAAATATATATTTTATGTTAGCTTATTATATGTATACGTCATATTTAATTATTTGTGTAATTATATATTTTATTTTATTTACCAGGACTATGTGGTCTAATGGTATCCGGGTTAGACTTTCACTTGGAAGGTTGTGAGTTTGAGCCTCAGTGGAGGCAACAGATACTACAATCTAATAGAGCCAGTAACATTCAAAAAAAAAAATATATTTTATTTTATTTGTTATTACACTATTTTAACTTATAAAATAATTTTATTTTTACACTTCAAGCTCTTAGTTAATTATCTTTAAACCATGTACTTATATATGTTAGCATTGTCTTATTTATTTATTTAAATTTTAAAGTTTATTGAAATTGAAATACATAAAATATCATATATTAGGGGTATTAAAAAGAAAATATAGCATTAAAGATAACCCTTAAACCAAATAAATTTATATATTACATACCTCAATTTTATTTAAACATAGGATTCTAACATTTTCAATAATTTAATTTTTTTCAACAATCTCCTATAGTGCTAAGAATATCAAAAGATAAACTCACATGGACAGCTCAACTGGTCATAGAGGTGAAAGTTAAAAAGAATGACCAGAGATCAAGTTATACTTACACTGTGAATATCGATGATGATAGAAAATATTTTCCACGAAACAAACAAAATTTTTCCTCAAATTCAAAGAAAATATTTTCCATCAACCAAACATACCAAAATGTCTAGAAATACAAAAGAAAAAAGAAAAAAAATTCCTAATATTTGAAGACCAGTCCAACTAGGGCTTTACAAATTACAACTCCACAAACAGTGTCGTAAAAAGACTCGGAGAGCGCTATCTCTCCCCGTACAGACCCAGCCGGCTGTCTGTTTGCTCCGACTACTCGTAGCCAGCCACTAATGGCGGAATTAATATGCAGAAATCTCAGAGACGGAGCATTAGAAGGCGAGCACGCGCCTGCTCTCACTCTCAAGGGCTCCATTGATTCACCTCTCGGACCACTTGTTTTCAATCACATTCTCTCCCAGCTTTTTTCCAACATTTCGGCCGGTAAATCGCAGTCTCGGTCAGTTCACTTGTCCAACAATCTCAAACATAACTTCAAAACTTAAAAATTTAAAGAAAAGATGATTCTTTAACTCTTTGCTTAATATTTTAATGTTTTTTCGCAGAGGAATTTTATTGGTCGCTTTATCTCGGCCGCCGTCGTTCTATGCTGAATTGCTAAAATGTAGAGGGAGTGACGGCGGTTCCTCGAATAAATGGTTTGATTGCCAGTTATATGAATGTTACAGTATTTTTGGTTAGAATACGTGAAAAAGTTGGCATCTTTACCTGATGAAATTTTATCAGGCTTAGTGTTTTGGATTGTTATACGGATCCTCTTGGGTGGAAAAGCCGGCTCATGGAGCGTGGAACTGTTAATAATACTTCCCAAAACACTTCGGTTAATGCTACCTTATTCACCCATGTGAAGGACTCAAACAAGTTATTGGCATCAATTGTTGAACGAGGGAAAGGTATTAGGTTTTAAATTTTGTCATATGTCCAGGCATAGAGCTGAGTATATAAAGATGAACATAGCCTGTAGTTGGCTGCCCTAATTTATGATTCTGTGTTGTTTTTGTCTGCAGAAATGGTTGGAGAAGGAAAAGGTCGATTCTCAGTTGCCATTGATTCGGTAATCTTCCTCACCTTCTAGCCTCGTACCGGAATGTGTGTTTTAGGAAAGTGCTATCTCTGTCTCTTTATTAGGGAATTCAATCTTGCAGTGCTGTTTTTCCCATCTCCCCTGCATTGGTAATATGCATAGTGATGCTTCAGTGGATTAGGAAGCTGCGTCTCTATTTTATATTTGAATGCTCTGGCCTTTGTCTATCTAGAATTAAGGATGGTTGAAAGTAGTGTCGTTGTTAGTATGGCTTTGTCCTGTGTGGAGAAACTTCCTTTGAAGAATTGGCATGTGTGGAGACCATTCCCATCAAGAATCAGTCAGGTATAAAATGCATCATGATGCAATGAAGCAGTCATTTTCCATGAGGGTGATAATTTAGTCAGTTTAATGAAGCTTCCTATTGATAATACATCAAACATATTGAAGAAGCAATAGAAGTTGAATTGAGTAATATACATGGCTTGATATTATTAATTTTTTGTGCAAAGAGAAAGCAGTACGTGAATTATGACTTCAAGAATTTATGGGCCTCTCTCAAGCTCTCGTCGACTCTGATTAATTGATTTTTCTGAAAGACAAATGTAAATATTTTGTATGCACTAGCTTTAGTTTTTGTATTCCATGACTATACATTATACAGTAATTCAGGGGAAAATGAATTAACCTCTAAGAAATAAATCAGAAAAGACATCTCTAAATGCCTTTTTTTCACTGGAATCCTTCTCAAGCCCCTGCACTTTCTTTAGCCTCTTTTCCTAGGGGCTGGAATATACTTTAAAAGTAGTGTCCTTGTTAGTATAGCTTTGTACTGTGTGGAGGGAGACTTCCTTTGAAGATTTGGGCTTATGCAGAGAACCAGAGACCACTCCCTCAAGAATCAGTCAAGTATAAAATGCATCATGATGCAATGAAGCAGTCAATTTCCATGAGGGTGATAGTTTAGTCAGTTTAATGAAGCTTCCTAGCTGGAACAATCTATGAAAAGTGATGTATTGTGACTTTGACATCATGAAGAAGTACTGAATTCTAATTTCCAGGAAACTTCATAGTGATGTAACTTCTAATGCTGTCTGTGTGTACCCACTTTTTTTTTAAATTTTTAATTTTATTTATTTTTTATTTTTTATTTTTAAATTTATTTTATGGAAGCTTTTCCATCATTCCCTGTTCCTCTTCTCTATGTGTTTTAAGTGTTATTGACTTCTTTTTTCATTTTTCTTTTTTCCTTTTTTCATCTCTATCCAGATAAGTGAGATGCTGAGACATTCATCCATCCATTCGGTTGCCAGGATTTTAAGCTACCTTCGTAGTCATGGTATACTTGATTTCTTGGTATTGTTTCTAATATAGATGAAAAGTGAGGAGGAAAATGGATTTTCATGCCTACTTTCATGGATATGTTCAAAAGGATTAAAAAAACTAGAAATGTTTGTCTCCTGTATCAGAGGAGGCAGTAGTCTATACACTTGTTTGCATCTCCACTTAAGTAAAAGTAGAAATAAGAGCAATGCTCCTTAACTTATAAATATATCATGTTTAGTACAGTCACCCGACGTTTCAACTTTTAGGTCTAAATACTGCATATGGTAATCTAAACATCTATATTTTCTCAAGTCTTTACATTTGTTTTAGGAGCTGAAAGCTCACGATGATTCTGTTACAAAAATCCCTTTTATTTCTCATTAATATTAATATGTAGAATTCAGTCATTTCCACATATCATGACAAAATGTGTACAATGAAACCTTATTCATTAAATAAGATTGTCTGAAGTCCACAGGCTATGATCTGCTGTCCTTATTGAACAATAGTTAGTGCTGTCTGATTATATTTTACTTCTTGGTCATATGACTACAAATAAATTCTACGTTTCCTATTCATCTTCTTGCTTTGTTTTCATATATTATCCTTGGCATTTTCATTTTAGTCATTCTTGTATAGGATGAATGAATATAAAAGTTCATCATGAAAGAGTTTCATTGGATATACATTTTTTATTGCAGACCAGGTTTCAAGCGTGTTTTTCTTATTAAATTCAGACCTTCATGAGTCCAAAGTTGCTTCTACTCTTGAATATATGTCTACAATGCGTGCTGATATAGTACCCGTGGCTCAAACAACAAATGGTCAAAGGGTTAACTCGGAGAACCTCTCAGTAGTGGAACAAAACTTTAAAAGAGGGAAACTTCATGTACGCTTCACACGCAGGAATGGGCGTGTTAGAGTGACGGTAACTTGCCTCTAACCCACCAAAAATCAGATATGACATTATCTCAATAACCGAGCAAATCATCTCTATTCTTGAAATTATTTGGTAGTGTGAGGATGCTTGTGTTGAGGATTCTGGCATTAAGTTCACTCCTGTTTCTTTGGAAGATGGTCTAACTGCTCAGAGCCTTGTGCCCAAGGTACCATTTTTAAATTTCAATCGAGAATTTTTCTCCTTTCCTCAAATACCACACTATGGACATGCATATTGAGTTGCAGCTTTTGTTTATAAAATAGGTTCTTCTGCGTTAATGTGATGAAATGCTTCATGACAGGTGCAATTTAATCTTCAGCTGTCAGAAAAGGAGCGACTTGACCGAGAAAACGTTGTACTCCCATTCGAGCACCAGGGTATGGCCGAATGGGGAATTCAATACTACATGCTTAGTCCTAAAATTTGTTTCCGTAGGCGGATTAAAATTCTTCCTCCTGCATTTCTTCTTGATACCCTTTCTTGCTTGTTCAGGGAATGGTAAGCCCATTGAAATCTACGATGGTAGGAAGTCGCTCAACAACACAAATGAACACCGAGATGCTTCGGCTAAGATGCCCCTTACAAACGACGATTCTGGCAAGGGCGAAATTATCTATTTTCGTGATTCGGATGATGAGATGCCAGATTCTGATGAAGATCCTGATGATGATTTGGACATATGATTTTCTCTGTTTCTTCCTGCAGAGCTAGCAGACCATGCATGTACCAATGCCAAGGTGACAAAATTGATGCTTCATCACTAGAGCCTTTCTGAAAGATTGTGTGAGCTTACCAAAATCCACTGAACATCTAGGTTTCAACTAGAAAATTTGTTTATATTTCATGGAATTCTCTTCCCATAGCAAAAGGTATTTAGCTAATATACAGTAAATGCCACTTATGTTTGTTCTGACATTATACTCTTGTAATACTTTACTTTGAAACAATATTGGTCTGTTTGATATGCTGGAAAATACCATATGTTTTTCTTTCAATAACCTGACAAACGTAACTTGGCCGAAATAAATAAAAAAAATCAAATACCTTTACGTAATAAAGATATGTGAAGGTAAAATTTGGTTGCCTACAAAATAAAAGGGAAAAGGATCAAACAAGTCCTCAAATTTTACAAGTGCAATTAAGTCTTTCAACATAAAAAAATAAATAAATCGATTAAACATTTGAACTTGTTATTTTGATTCATTTAAACCCAAATGACCGGTTGCTCACCTGAAACAACCGGTCATTAATTTTCCGTCCAATATCTGCTCGTCGACTAGTATGGTTCGTCTGGTCGTGTTCAACATTACCAGCAATGGAGAAGAACTGAGCTTTCTGGTCGATGAATAATCGGTAGGTTATCGGTAAACATGATTTATTTGATCTGTTTTAACAAGTTTGAGTAAATTGAATTTTTTAAAAGGGTTTAATTACACTTTTAGATAACGTTTGAGGACTTATTTAATTTTTTTTTTAATAAATGATTGAGTAGGTAAAATATTATTCTGGTACTCTGTTTTTATGACGGAGTAAGTGAAATATTATTATCATAACCCATTTTATAGCCCTAGCAATAATTTTGATGTGAGGAGCAAAACAAGTAGCACTCTTTGAATTCTTTCAACAACTTTTGCAGTCTCCCATGAATGCACAGTACGTGTTCCTTAATTTCTTCACTAAACCCGACGCACGCCATTCGTCATCTCCCAAAACATACTATACACTACTCACCAACTATATATACCGGATCTCTACAGTTCTACATACACAAAAATTAAACCTTAAAATAATCCTCAGCTCGATCGATCGGAGATCAGAAGATGATGAAGAAGGGCATGTGTTTGGCGATGTGTTTGATGGTGGCAGCTGCAGCGGTGGTGGTGGAGGCGGCGGCGGCGCCGGTTCCGTGCATAGTGACGGAGCTGAGCCCGTGCGCGGGGCTGCTACTGTCGCCGGGGCCGGGGGCTGGGGCGGCGCAGCCACAGCCGCAGCCATCGCAAGAGTGTTGCAGCCGACTGAAGGAGCAGCAGCCTTGCCTGTGCGGTTACATCAATGATCCAATCCTCGGTCCTTACATTAACGTCGTCAATACCCGAACCGTTTCCGCAACCTGCGGCGTGCCCGTCCCCACCTGCTGATTATGGTTAATTCTTGTATTGCATGTATTCCTACGTCTACGTATACCTACCTATATATAAACGTACGTAAGTTGCATGCATGCATGGCTGGCAATGTCTGGTCTTCATTTTCCTTGCTACTACTACTCCTAGAATAAAAGTTTACATGTAATAGATTGTCTCGTCACCTTTCTTCTGCGAACAATATATTATAATGGATTATTTCTACGATGAAATAGCAATGTTCAATCTCTATTAGGGACTAGGGAGTACTAGTTAATTAGCTACTTCAGCCTATAATGAGCTCACCTTAGGCTAACCTTATCCCAGCAATTTCTCTCACTTTTTAAAATGGGTCCCATTTCCACATCATCAAATTTACAATTCTTCAACTATTTTCTCTACATCCCTACAATACTCTCTCACTTTTAAAAATGGGCCCCACTTTCAATAAAATAAACAAATACATATATAATAATAATATTAAAATAGATAAAGTAAAAAAACGTACAAGCTTTGCTGTCAAAGCTGCCATTTGGCAGCTGTCATTGTACTTAACAAGCTTTCTAAATCAAAAAGCTTGCAAGACATGTGGAAAATAAAAACAAATTAAAAAAAGACTTTTTTTACACATAACCATGCCATGTCACTTTGCAATTGTTAAAATTTCTGGGTTAAGGACAACCTTATAATGATTTATTTCTATTAAAACATATATCATATATGAACAACTATTTAGTGTGATGACATCCCGATTACCATTCTAAATTGGTGGTCATAAGTTTGAACCCTGGAAATGGGATAAAAAGAAAAATCATATATGGTGGGCCCTACGTCAGTAGCAAATTATACTATGTATCATGATTATATTCACATTGGAATGTAGACCATAGATAAATATTCATTTTTAGTAGAAAAATGACTGAAATGTGACAAATATGCTTCCCAATTCCATAAATATGACGTTTTTTTTTTTTTTTTTTTTTTTTTATAAAATTAGGAAAACTTCGTTTGGGACATGCGTTTTAGCCATGTCCCATTTTTTTTTTTTTTTTTTTAATTTTTATACGTCTCCAAAAACGCAAATGGTAATTAAGTCTTTGGTATTGTATACGGCCAACGCATTTACAAAATGCGTTTGACGTATAGTATTAGTATACGGTTAGACGCTTGTACGAGATGCATCTAACGTATAATACTCCAAACGCATCTCGTACATGCGTTTTAGTCGCCGGACCATGGGAAGCCGCATCTGCGATGAACGGCAATACACTTTCTTCTTCTCTGTGTCAATCTTGTAACATTCGGCTTCCTTGAACTGGACGTCAAACTTTTTCTATTATTGTGCACAGAATCATATCAAGAACACCTAGTTAGAACATCTAACGACTAACTAACAACTCATTATTATTCACCGGATCGGAGAACTGTACTTACCCCTCTGACAATTTTGCGTATTGGCTCTACAACGCTGCGCGCCTCAACCGTACCCACGGTGACACTGGGCAACAGCGGAGTGAAAACGAAGAAGTTCCGAGGAGACACGATCTGAACATCGTAGGACGGATCCTTCAACGTTTTCAGAAAGCTCATGCCTGCCCAACCTGTTCCCAAGACTACAACTTTCTTCCTCTTCACCTCACCCTCACCCGCATCCGCATATGCAGTGCCCACTAGATTCGTCTGCGTGGATGCCGCTAGACCTCCACCGCTGCATAGCCAAAAACAGTCCCATAATTCAACCCAAAAAAAAATCAGATTTTGCAGATCATGTTTCATATGCATACTAACGGTTCGATCATTTGTTACGTCTAAGGGAACGAATAGCGAATGGGGATTGAGCAAACACCTGATGGTGACGATTACGAGTGCTTTGGGGAGAAAGGGGTAGCGGCGGAAAGCCGCGGAGGCTCTCTGGAAAAAACGGCTGTCGGCGTTCATGGCGAGTTAATCCTCTGTAAATGTGTGTTCAAACAGTTAGTTATAAGGAATATATAAAAAGATGAAATGATGTTAAAAATGGAAAGTTTTAGGGAGAAGTTGTTAGATATACAATATTCTAACTATAATGAATAACAGTATACGAGAAACCTGACCTCGTAGGATAGCGGAAGCGTAGCCATGTAGATCTCCAGTCATAGTTGATGTTCCTGTTGTGTTGCCTCTTAACGGTAGACCGTTAGCCATGTTTTGTCTCAGACCTGACTCAGAACCCTAGATGGTGTATTGGTATCTACTGAGCGGTCTGAGTACATTAACTGAATGTGCTATCTAATCCATAATCCTGTATCCCATCAATCCATGTTATATTAGGCACAGAGTTTGGTTGACTAACAACTACTAGTTATTAAGTCCAACCATACCACTTAATAAGCCTAGTCAACTTGCACCACTTAATTAAGGTCCTAATATATAATATATAATATATATTATTAGGGAAAATCTTACAGAAGTGATTTTTAGTTAATATATTCCTTGTCGTTCATCGCAGAAGCGGCTTCCCATGGTCAGTCTCCGGCGACTAAAACGCATGTACGAGATGCGTTTGGAGTATTATACGTCAGACGCATCTCCGTCTAACTGTATACTAATACTATACGTCAAACGCATTTTGTAAATGTGTTGGTCGTATACAATACCAAAGATGCAATTACCATTTGCGTCTTTGGAGATGTATAAAAAATTTAAAAAAAAAACTGGGACATGGCTAAAACGCATGTCCCAAACGAAGTTTTCCTAATTTTTTCAAAAAAAAAAAAAAAACGTCATATTTACAGAATTGGGAAGCATATTTGTCACATTTCAGTCATTTTTACAGAAAAATTGCATCTTTAGTCCCTGAGTTATAACAAAAAGTTTCGACTCAGTCCCTAAGTTATGACCGTATCCGAGTTTAGTCCCTCAATTATGAGCAAAGTGGCGAGTTTGGTCCCTAGCGTTAATATTCTGTCTGCAGCTAACGAAAAACTTAAAAACAATTTAATAATAAACGGGTAAAATAGGAATTTCAAATTATAATCCCTTTTTATGTTGAAACGCATTGTACAACAGTCATTATTTTCTTCTTATACCTACAATTGAAGGTCTTTTCTTCCCCAAGCTCTGAAATCTCAAATTCATCTACTTCCAAGCTGTGAAATGCATATGTAAGTTGTTTCTCTATTTTATGTGTATGTTTAAATAAATAATCAATATTCTATATTTTATATCAAGAAAAAAATAACTTGGAGGATATTGATTATCAAGATAAAAGTAATCAATATTCTTCATGAAGTTAGCAAACACCTCCTCCAAGTTACTTTTTTTTTTTTTTTTTTGCTCATAAATACAAAGAGTATTGATTATTTATTTAAACATATAAAATAGAGAAACAACTTATGAATTTCGCAGCTTGGAAGTGGAAAAATTTGAGATTTCAGAGTATAGAAAAAAAAAAGATCTTCGATTGTAGGTATAAGAAGAAAAGAATGACTGTTGCGCAATGAGTTTCAACGTAAGAAGTTAATTATAATTTGAAATTCCTATTGTACCCCTCTATTATTAAATTATTTTTAAGTTTTTCCGTTAGCTGTAGACAGAATATTAACGCTAGGGATCAAACTCGCCACTTTGCTCATAACTAAGGGACTAAACTCGAATACGGCCATAACTTATGGACTGAGTCAGAACTTGGTTATAACTCAGGGACTAAATATGTAATTTTCCCTTTTTAGTATACTGAATGTACTGAATTATTTTTTTAAAGTAGTAAACCTAAAAATGTACTTTCAGTACAAAAAGAATGAACTTTAAAAATAAACATTCAATGTCAGTATACTAAAAATTAATATTATGTAAGCGGTCCATATTGCACCGTGGCTCATAAGTCGTTATATCGTGGACCGCGGTGCATAATCGATTATGCACCGCGCATCAAAACGGCGTCTTTTCTTTAAGTAAAGAAACGGTGCGTTGTTAGTGTTAACGGAGTGACACTACAGTGTATCTAAATCGACACTGCCTCACGTATTATTTTTATATTATCAAATGAAACTGCAGTTATATCAAAATGATACTGTAGTTGTGGTGAAATGAAACTGCAGTATATATAAAATGAAACTGCATAACATTTCACATATTTGAGTGTATATTGTACAATTAAGTTGTAATTATATCGAAATGATCATGTAGTTGTGTTTTAATGAAACTATAGTGTATATAAAATAAAATTAAATAACATTTTCACATATTTGAGTCTATAAATATCGAATGAAACTGTAGTTATATCGAAATGAAATTGTAGATGTGTAATTGTGTTGAACTGAAACTGCAGTGTATACAAATGAAACTGAATAGCAGAGTTACTTTTTGCGGAAGGGTGCAGAACGACGTGAAACGGATGCCGTTTCTTTTCATTAAACAAAACGACATCGTTTTGATGCACGATGCATAATTGATTATGCACCGCGGTGCACGATATAATTTGCCGTTAGGGCTGTGCAAGACCCGAAATACCCGAAGAACCCGCCCGACCCGAACCAACTCGCACCGAATGGAGATGCAATCCGACGGGTTCGGGTCATATCCGAACCGACCCCAAGCAACGTGGCAATTAAAGACGGACGGGTAGGGTTAGGAAATATCCCATCCGAACCCGTCCAAGATCCGAAATATGGCCTAAGTATAAAACGTTGCGTAGACCTAGGGTTTGCCATTCTCTCATTCTCCACTTGGCCACTCCCCACTCCCCAGAGCTTCTTCTCGAAATCTCCTTAGTCTCCTACTCTCCTCTAGCCATCCCCATCCGATCTTCAGTCATTCTCATCTAATCTTCTTCCTTAATCTCCTTCTCCGGTGAATCTCTGATTCTCTGAAGTCTGAACTCTGAGTCTCAACTGAGAGTCTGAGAGTATCTGTGGTTCTGAACTCCCCTTCGACTCCTTCGAGGCTTCGAGTCTTCGACAGTTCGACGGGAATCTTGTGGAAGTGTCTGTGGCTCTGTGCAAACTGGAAAGACGGCAAGAAGGAAGAAGCCGGACGGCAGTGGAAGTGGAAGTTTGATGCCTTGAAGCCCTAGATCTCAGAGGGAACCTTTGAGAAAACAAGTAAAATGTAACTCTGTCATATTTTTCTTATTTTCCTGTTGCACGTTTGTGAGTTTGTCTGTTCTGTTCTAGTTCTATGATGTTGCATGCACCCTAATTTGTAATTGAACCCTAATTTTAAGGGGTTTCCACATACGTGATGAATTTGTGCTTATTCTGATATGTGATGAATTTGTGCTTATTCTGATATGTGTTTGTAAGTTTATGGTTAAAGGACCCTTAAATTTGTTATTTCAAAATGTATGGTGGTGGTGGAAGTGTGGAACTGTGGAAGCCTACTGAATTTGTAATTGATATTATGAATTTGTGCTTATGAATTTATGATGTCCATGTTGGAAGCATACTGAATTTGTAAATTGTAATACTGTTGAATGTTGTTGAATACTTGAACTGTGGAAGTGTTAAGCCCTAATTTGTGGCTATTTCCATAAAATGATGAGTTCATGATTCATGAATCATGACTCCTGATTATGAAATGAATTTGTTAATGTGTTATATACTTATATGTAATTAATTCCTAAAATCAGGACTCCATAAAATGAGGAGTTCATGAATCATGAATCCTGATTATGGAATACATATCACTGTGACAGTGTATGGCCTTATGTGTGCTTGTGTGAAATTTGAATCCTATTTGCTCATCCATAAATCTTTATAGATGGAGAGCAATCAAAATATAAGTGGAAGTGGAACTGGACCTCTTCCATCTTCAACAGTGGATGAACAAGGAGTACAAACCCCAGGCATTAAGACAAGTGCTCAACAGCCTATGGCCACTCCTAAAGTTCCTGCTGTTAAGAAGAGGAAGGAAATAGAGTCTAGATCCATAGTGTGGGAGCACTTTGAACAGATCAAAGATCCTGAAACTCAGAAAGTGCTTAAAGGCAAATGCCTTTACTGTGCAAAAGAGTATTTTTGTGAAACTAAAAAACATGGCACATCATCATTAAGAAATCATATGGGCAATTGTCTTAAAAATCCCCATTCAAAGGATATAAGGCAATCTCTACTCACATTCAACACTCTGTCCACTTCTGAGGGTGGAACAGAGGCTCCTGTGGGTGTTTTGGGGACATGGGTATTTAATCAAGATGCCATTAGGAGGGCCCTTTGTGAGATGATAATCATAGATGAGCTCCCTTTTAGGTTTGTAGAGGGCCAGGGGTTCAAGAGGTTTATTCTGGTTGCTTGTCCTAGGTTTCTTATCCCTTCTAGGTGGACCATTTTTAGGGACATCTACCAAATATTTCTTGATGAGAGGCTAAACCTTAAGAAGTTGTTTAGAGTGGGAACTCAAAGGGTTAGTCTAACAACAGATACATGGACTTCTGTCCAGAGAATCAACTATATGTGCATTACTGCACATTTTTTAGATGACCAGTGGAAGCTTCAAAAAAAAATTATATCCTTTGTCCCAGTTTCTTCTCATAAGGGGGAGTACATTGCAAAAGCCCTAGAGAGTTGTTTATTAGAGTGGGGAATTAAGAATGTGTTTACTGTAACAGTGGATAATGCCTCCTCTAATGACACAGCTATGGGTTTTTTAAGAGTAAACTGTTATCTTGGGGTTCTTCTTCTGTTAAGGTTCAGTACATGCACATGAGGTGCATAGCCCATATCCTCAATTTAGTGGTCCAAGATGGGTTGAAGTTTGCAGATGAGTCAGTTAAGAGGGTGAGGGATGCAGTAAGATGGGTTAGGATCTCACCAGCTAGGCTGACAAAGTTCAGAGAGTTTGCTGAATTGTTTGGTGTGGAAGCTAAATCAGCTTTGCATCTTGATGTCCCTACAAGGTGGAACAGCACCTACATTATGCTCAACACTGCAATTCAATATCAAGTAGTGTTTGATGCATATGAGAGAAATGACCCCTCTTATTCTG